AGAGACTGTGCTGTAGTTACCTGCTCAGCTGACCCTGCAGACCTCCCTGGAGTTCAGTTGCTGACCGTGGCGCTGGGCTCTGTGTGCACAACTGAGAGTCGACCCTGTTCTCTGGGTCATGCTTCACCTTGTGCGTCAATAAATAGTTTTAAAGCCCAAACATCTGTCATCCATGCTGGTCCTGGGCGCAGGACCCAGCCTCTGCCTTCACAGTTGCTCACAGCTGATGGGGGAAATGAGAGCTACAAAGGAGGTGTCGGTATTCTTTTTTCTTTTTGAAAAAAAGTATTTTAAAAAGTAAGTAACAACTATTGAATATATTCAATTATTACAACATGACGGTTTGAAATATCTTACAGTCCTTGTGCACTGATTGCCACAGTCAAATTCATAGCACATTGGTCAGCACCCACACTGCACATTAGATCCCCTGACTTTGTTTACCTTCGGACTCAGAGCGGGGTCAGCCTTTCCTGACGGAGCGTGTGCATCAGGGATGAATGAGGAAGGCCTTAGGGAGATGTGGCTGGAGAAGACAGGGTGATGCCCCACCTAGCTACACCTGTACACCCCTGCTCACATATGCACCACGGACTGACACACATGCATACACACACTCACATATGTACACACACACACAGTTGCACTCGCACACACACGTGCACACTCACACACACACACATGCACTCACACAGGACAGGAGAGCCCGACAGCCACTGTGGGCTGGGATGTGTCTTCGTCTCCACCCCATTTATAGGGTCAGAGCTGCTCTCACCACTCAGATTAAAAGTAAAATAACCTGCGCACCACTAGGGGCGAGAGCGTCCCAGTTGGCTTAGCTATTTTCCAAAACTCCATGACAGTAACAGGGTATTGGGAGGGGAGAGGGCAGGGGGCGGGTATATACATACATAATGAGTGACATGTGCACCATCTGAGGGATGGTCATGCTGGAAAATCAGACTTCTGGGGGGAGGAGGGAAAGGGCATTTATTGAAACCTTAAAATCTGTACCCCCATAATATGCTGAAATAAAAAATAAAAAAATAAGCTCCATGACAAGTCTCTGGAAGGAGCCGGCCTGGACAGAGCTGCAAATGGAAACATCTGCAAACATCTCATAGTAGTTGATAAATATATACAATTATTATTTACAAATTCTTTGAAAAATACAAAATAAAATAACCTCAAAAAGCAGGTATTAGTTAAATGTAATCATATGTTAGAAAAAAGAATACTTTATAAAATGGGAGGTCTCTGTCCTGGCCCAGAAAAGGTGGGGCCTGGCCGTCCTGCCCAATTTTAACTTGTCCTGAGATTTAATTTTCTATTTGTACTCAACTTTAATTCCCCAGGGATCTGCTTCTAACCCATCTCTTCTGCTACATTATGACTGAATTTCTCTCTTTTTCACTTGGGACACACTTTCTATCTCCCTCCCCCTCACCCCCCATGGAGGAATTTACCCAGCGGAGCCTTGTGCCTCCCTGCACTGGCCTTGTAATACACCCGCCCTGCCTGGGCATAAACCAATGGGAAAGGTCGAAGATTCACCCAGGGTCGCGGAGCTATTGGCACCACTGCCCCACCCCCACCCTGTCGCACCAGACCCTCATTCGCTCCTGTCACACGTTCCTCCCAGCACCGCTCATGTGTCAGCCGCAGGTCTCCGCAGTGCCTTTCTCACCATTCCTGTAGATACCTTCGCCTGCACCTGGGGCGGCCACTACACCTGTCCTGCCCCTCAGGGACACACTGACAGCTCCACCTGCCTCTCCCCAGTTCTTAGAGCTGACTTGCCTGGGGTCCTGTTCCCTCCTGGGTCCACCTTGCTGCAGGATGGGGGTGACTTGGTCCTCTGCTCCCCTCCAGAGGATGTTTGTTGACAGGACACCCTCCACCTCCGTCACAGGTTGGCTTCCAAGGGACTCCAGGTCTCCAAACAAAAGCAACAAGTCTGTGAAATCTCTGTCAAGTTCATGGGTCCCCTCGTAGCACCCCATGGTCTGAATATGGACCATAAAGGATGACTGGGTTTAGAGACAATTTTCCCCAGTTGTTCTGGTTCCCCGCCCCCCCCCTTTGGTTTCCTTAGGTTGAATCCCTGGATGAGATAGTCACGTCTGGCTGCCAGTCCAGAGGACACGCCACACCCCTCTGTCGGAATCCCCCTAATACATGCTGTGGATGGAACACCCTCCGTCCAGGGCCTCCTTCCTTGGGACCCCACCAGCCCCGTCTTGGCAGGGCGGGAGCAGCCCCTGAGGACCCGCCCTGCACTGCTCTCGGGTCCGTTCCAGCCTCAGGTGCGGCTGCACAAAGCAGCCTCCCACCTGCGTCCGCAGCCCTGACCCCGCCCTGGCCCTGCAGACCCTGGGCTCCCTCCCTGCATCCACACAGCAGTGGGATCCGCCACCCTGATGACCCCTCGATGGGACCTGCGGCCACAGGGCTTTGCCCTCTGCTTTTTGATGTGGATTTGAACCTTCATATCTCTTTTTCTGCTCATGATTTTGAGGATCTGCATATTTCAGACACGCTGTACCTGCATTCCTCAGCGTTGGGAGGAGTTGGGGCATCAATCGTCCACCTAGACTCTGCATCTCGACGCCAGGATCCTCTGATGTCCCCACCCCTCGTGTCGTAGCCTGGTCTGTAATTAACCAGGATCGGGGCCCTCCCATCCTCCAGGCACCACTGACCCCACATCCACTGTGAGGATGGGGTTCCTGACCACAGCTCCAAATGAGGAAACTGAGGCTCAGAGATGGGAATTTACTGCCCAGCTTATACAGACAGTGGGTGATCATCAGGAATTAAATAAAAATCAACTCCCCACCCAATGCCCCAAATCCGACCACAAACATCAGTAATTGTCCCAAAACCCTGACCAGGGGTTGAGGTGCAGCGTGACGCCCAAGGAAACCAGGGGCTGAGGGGGCAGTGGTGGCTGAGAGGTTGGTTCCCAGGGAGGCGCAGGTGACGCTGCTGCTAAAAATAGCAAAAGGGGAGGGGAAGCCAGAGAAGGGGAATGTTTGGTACAATGAAAACCCACAGTCCACAGCCAGGAGAGGCATCACTTTTCTTCCCATACTGCCCTGTATGTCCCCTTCGTGCTCACGGCCACAAGGCAGCTCAACGAGAACTGCGCCGTCAGACGCTCGTGTGTCTCTGCTGGTCCGAGTCCACCGTGGGCTCGACCTGCCAGCTTCCTGGAGCGTCCCAGGGTGGGGAGACGACTGCCGTGGGGAGGACCCGCAGCGCTGGGCTGAAGGACGGGCTGCAGGAGGGACGGAGGCCCGTGGGGAGGCCCCAGAGGGACGGGGGCCCTCATCACCCTCACCTGGGAGGGGCCATGTCGAAGGCTCTGGATCTGTTTCCTTCTACGTTCTGAACTTCAGTGAGATGAGGACAGATGAGGCAGACGGTGGCTGGGGGTCAAGGAGACCCAGTTCTGTCTGAAATGTCTGCAGAGGCCTGGTGCCTGCCCAGCCCAGCCCCGGGTAAATGAGAACCAGGCTTGTGGGGGGGCAGTTCCCTTCCCGTGGGCTGCTGATGGGACAACCCCTGAGGGGAAGGACCCAGCTCCAAGTGCCACACCTTGTGTGTCTCTCTGTCCTGCAGACACTTGTGTCTCATCCATCTGCATAGCCAGGTCCAGTAGGAGGAGACGCCATGACCCCCACCCTCATGGCCCTGCTCTGCCTCGGTGAGATGGGAAGAGGGAGGGAGACCTGGACTGGGGGGGACCCACCACAGCCAGGCCCTGCTCTAGCAGGAGACCCAGGGCTCAGGAGGTTCCGGGGAGGACAGGACATGCTCAGCCCTCAGGGGCCAAATCTCTCACAGAGAACTCTCTTCCAGGGCTGAGTCTGGGCACCAGGACCTGCGTGCAGTCAGGTGAGTCTGTCACGAGCTATCCCAGGTGCCTCCTCACTGGGGACAAGGGGACAGCCCTGGGCAGCTGGGGATGGGGAACAGCAGTTCTGGGCTGACTGACGGGGACATCTGGAGGATCCTGGGCTGAGAGCTGGGACCTGAGGGGTGGGGACGTCTTGAGTCCCAGCATCTGATTTCCTTCCAGGGACCCTCCCCAAACCCACCCTCTGGACTGAGTCAGACTCCGTGCTCACCTGGGGGAGCCCTGTGACCATGTGGTGTCAGGGGACTCTGGGTGCCAAGGAGTACCGACTGGATAAAGAGAAATTTTCAGAGCCCTGGGACACACAGACACCACTGGAGCCTGTGAACAAGGTCAAGTTCAACATCCCATCCATGACAGAGCACTATGCAGGGCGATATCACTGTTACTATTACAGCTCTGACGGATGGTCAGAGTCAAGTGACCCCCTGGAGCTGGTGGTGACAGGTGAGAGGACACTCGGGCTCCCAGCCCCAGGCTCTGCCCTCAGGAAGGGGTCTGCTCTCAGGGTGTCTCCCTGTCACAGCCAGCCCTGGGGGTGATGCGGGAGGTGTGAGCCCCATTGACCACGGCTGCCTCCCTCTCTCCTAGGGTTGTATGGCAAAGCCACCCTCTCAGCCCTGCCGAGCCCTGTGGTGACCCCAGGAGGAAACCTGACGATCCAGTGTGTCTCACAGGAGGGATTTGACAGTTTCATTCTGGTTGAGAAAGGACAGAAGCTCTCCTGGACCGGGGACCCACAGCGAACCTCCTCTGGGCAGTTCCAGGCCCTGTTCCCTGTGGGCCCTGTGACCCCCAGCCACAGGTGGACGTTCAGATGCTATGGCTGTTATAGGAACAACCCACAGGTGTGGTCGCAACCCAGTGACCCCCTGGAGCTACTGGTCTCAGGTAAAGAGATTTCATCCTACTCTGCTCTTTTCTTGAGACCCCCAAAAATGTCACTGTGAGCCTTGCTTCAGGGCAGCCTGAGGTGGGAGGGGTGGCGAGCAAACAAAGGTTCCCAGGGCCACAGGCCCAGAGTGTAGAGACAGCGGGACCTGCAGGGCCAGGGCAGGACACGGGAGGTGTTGGGAGGAACCAGTCCCTGCAGCCCCCGGCCAGTCCTTCCCTCCAGGTGTGTCTAGGAAGCCCTCCCTGCTCTTGCCATGAGAGGTGGAAACAGGACTTCCCACAGTGACATTACTGGGGTCTCTGTTGATTCTTCCCTTTGCTGTGCAGAAACATTCTTAGTTTAATTAAGCTGCATTTATTTATATTTTGCTACATTTGTATTTGACATAATGACTTCTTTTCCTTTGGGATACCCAGTAGTGGCATTGCTGCACAGAGTGGTAGGTCTATTTTCAGTTCTTTGAAGAATCTCCACAGTTTTCCATACAGCTTGTACTAATTTACATCCCCACCGACAGTGTAGAAGTGTTCTCTTTTTAGCACATCTATGCCACCCATTGTTTTTTGGCTTAATAATAACCATTCTGACCCGCGTCATATGATATCTCATGGTGGTTTTAATTTGGATTTTCTTGATGACTAGTGATGGTGAGTGTTTCTTCATGTTTGCTGGCCATGTGTGTGTCGTCTTTTGAACAAAATTTCTTCATGTATTGTACTGTGCCTACTTTTGATGGAGTTATTTGGTTTTTTCTTTGTGGTTTCTTTGAGTTCTTTGTAGATTCTGGATATATGTTGGATTTATACTTTGAGAATATTGTCTCCCATTCTGTAGGTTGTCCATTTACTTAGTTCTGTGTCCTATAGCCCTGTAGTGCAATTTGAAGTCGGATAACCTGAGGCCTCCAGATTTGTTCTTGGTCATTAGCATTGCCTTGGATATTCAGGCTCTATTGTATGATTCCCTATTAGTTTAGGATTGTTTTTTCTCTAGTTCTGTGAAGAAGGGTGTTGGTATTTTGTTGAGAATTGCTCTGAATCTGTAAATCACTTTAGGCGGCATAGACATTTTAACAATGTTGATTCTTCCAATGCATAAGTATGGAATTCCTTTCCTTTGTGTGTGTGTCATCTATGATTTCTTTCATTAGTGTTTGGTAGTTCTCCTTGTAGAGATTCCACCTCCTTGTTTAAGTATTTTCTAGGTATTATTTTTTGCATCTATTGTAAATCATATTGATTTTTTAATTTGACTCTTGGCTTGAATGTTATTAGTGTATTGTGAGGCTACTGATTTGTGTACATAAATTTTCTAATGTAAAAATATACTGAATTTGTTTATCAATTCCAGGAGTGTTTTGGAGGAATCTTTTGAGATAGTTTGACCTCCTCTTTCCTAACTTAGATGCCCTTCAACTTTTATTTTTAATTATTACGGGTGCATAGTCATTGTATATTTTTATAAGGTACATGTGATGTTTTGATACAGGCATACAAGGTGAATCAATGAAATCTGGGTAATTACTGTATCTATTACCTCAGACAGTTAGCATTTCTTTATATTTGGAACATCCAATTCCACCCTTTAGTTATTTTAAGGTAGACCCTAACATATTGTTGATTATACTCACTTTGTTGTGATAGCAAATATTGTTCATTCTAACTATCTCACTATGTTTTTCCACCCATTAGGCATACTCACTTTATCCCTCCAACCCTGTTACCACACCCATATTCTGGTAACCATTATTCTACTATCTGTCTCCATGACATAAATTATTTTTAATATTTGATGCTTTCATCTTGCAGCTTGTAGGATTTTCTCCTTCACTTTGACTTTCATCAGTCTGATGACTATGTGTCTTTGAGATGACCTATTAGTAAGGAATCTCTCAAGAGTTCAATGACCTTCTTGTATCTGGATGTCCAAATGTCTAGCTGGACCCAGGAAGCTTTCCTACTTTATTCTTTCAGATAGGTTTTCCAGGATGTTCACTTTGTTTCTTCTCCCTGAAGTATACCTACAATTCATCTAACATTGTCCCATAATTCTCACAGACTTTGTTCATTCTTCTTGATTCTTTTGTCTTCATTGTTGACTGAGTAGGTTGATTCAAAAGTTTTTTCTCAAGCTCTAAAATTCTTTCTTCTGCTTCATTTGGTCTGTTGTTAAACTTTCCATGGTGTTTCGTATTTCCCTAAATTATACTTTTATTTCCAGAAATTCTGTGATTTTAAACTATGTATCTTTCAGTAAATTTTTCATTTCTGTCCTGAATTGTTGTTGTTGTTGCACGCTTGTGTTGGTTTTCATCTTTCCAACTGGTCCCATTGATCATATTTGTGATCCATGTTTTGAATTCCATAACCAACACTTCAAACATTGCTTTTTGGTCAGAGTCCATTGCTGGAGAGCTAGTGTGATCCACTGGGGGTACTGAAACAGCCTGCTCTTTTATACTGCCAGAGTTCTTCTCCTGGTTCTTTCACATCTAGAACCTCTTTCCTCAGCCCAAAACAGATGCCATTGTGGTTTGAGTGTTCTTTGCCAAGGTCTCTGTTGCTCAGTGTAGGAAGGGAGAGTCACCCTATCCTTTGACACTGTGACTAGATACCCACTGTGGTGTTGCTGCCATATTGGGTGGGTTGACCTCTCACCCCTGGGACACTGTTCATGTGCCACTGGTGGTGGACTAGGCTGGGTAATCCCCAGTCCCCAGGGTCCTGGGTGGTGTGCCTGAGTCCTGGGAGGAGCAGACCAAGGTTGAGCTGGCAAGCTTGCTCCCAAGCCTCCCTGGGTCCAGGTGCTGGTTGTGATGGTGAGGGGTGGGGTGCTCCTCTGCCCCAGGAGAACACGCATTCAAGAGAAGGATGGATGCACTGTGAGCCGGTGACTGGAGGGCCTTCTTGACATTAGCAGCAGCAGGCAGCTGTGGGACACGCAAGCCACTAACACCTTCCTCTTTTGGCAATGACTGTGGTCTCTGTCCCTGCGGTGTACAAAAGCACCCAGATTACAGCTCCCACTCAAACCCAGCTGCAGGAGAGGTGGCAGAGGCAGCTCAACACGCTGGTTGTGGGGCTGTCAGACTGGTTGTGGGCTGTGGCTGAAATTATCCAGGGAGCAGATGTGGTTGTGCCAGAGACTTGCCTCTGGGGATGGTTGGCTCCTTGCAGAAGAGACAGGCAGCTTGCAGTTTGGGGAGAGGACTGGGAGCCAAGTTCTCCCTTATAGGAGGTCGTAGCTTTTGTTTAGTGGCACACATAAGTGCTTGTTGCTCTTTTTTAGCAGGAGGGAGTGAGCCCTAAGCTCCATGGAAGCCTTGGTGTGACAGGTGGTCTGTGAGAGGCAGGGAAGCTGCTCCCAGGTGCCCTGGCTTAATGGTTCCCTGTGGAACACTGACCAGTCCTGAGCAGTAACAGCATTTCAGCCATGGCTTCCATCATGGCAGGGGTGGGGCAGGAGGGAAGGCGGGGAAGGCCCCAGGGCAGCGTCTCCACTGGGAAAGCACAGACAACATCACATCACAGTGAAGTGCACACTGGTGCGGGATGTGTGTGTCATGGGTCAGAACTCCAGGAACACCACTGCTTTCCTGTGTCTCCTATTCCTTTGTGGTTGTCACAGTGTGGGCAGGGATTGGGGATGTTTGTGTGGGATCCAGTGACAGGGAGACTGAGAGGCTGTGACTCCCCTGGCTGGATAGAAGCACCCGGTGTGTGTGCAGACAACATGGCACCTGCCATTTCAGCGTGGCTCGTGGTGAGGGAAGTGACTCACATGGGCCTGCTGCCCAGCGCTCTGTCCCCAGAAACTCTCAGTTCAGCAGTGTCAGCAGCATCTGCATTTGTCAGGACAGAAGGACTCCCACAGTCAGGGAGCTGGCAATCTGCACAGGTGTGAAGGGAGGGAAAGTCATCACGCCCACCTGCCTTTGCTGACGGGCTCCAAATCCCTCTGGAGTTGGTCTCTGTCAAAATGTGGCTCCTCCTTCTTCAGCTCCACCACTTCCTCCCATGGGAACCTCCAGTAGGGGCAGGTTCTGGCTTTTTCCCTTAGTATTGCACCTGGGCTCTCCTCTCTCACCGGAAACTTCTTCCTGTATTTGGGACAATCTGGCAACCCATGTCTCTAGTGACGAGATCCGCCATCTCGTCACTCTCCCCTGTTTTTTCTGAAACTTTTAAAGTAATAATTGAATACGTAAATTTATAATTTTAATTTAAATGATATGAATGTATGATTGAAAAATGCGTAATTCTATGCCGATTTTCATTGGGACTTGATTTAATTTATACATTTTATTTGTAAAATGGTTTCTTGTTAATAAAGCCTTTCTATCCTAAAGATTTAAAATGGAGGCACAGGAATGAACTTAAGTGTTTTTGAAATTTTATTTGTAAGAATTTTGTACATTCACTCACATTCGAAGAATTGTTAAACTACTTTAATAATTTATAAGAAAGGTCTTTCATTTACATTTTTAAAATACATTTTAAAATGTATTTATATTTTTAAAATAAGAGATTTCTTTACATTTTTACATTTTTAAAATAAGAGATAGGTATGTATGAGAAAGCTGTTGGTTAAGTATATTCACTTTATTCCATATTAGCTGACGACGGAATTCCTCCCTTCCAATTATTTTTCTATTGATCTCTTCTAATATACTGATAAAATTTATATAAACCACAAGAAAACATAAATTTCACCTCTTTTCTTCTAAATTACATATTTATATGTAACTACATATTAAATAAATTTTGAAAGTTTTGCTTTTTACATATTTATATATAATTATATAAATTACATGCAAATATGTCTGTACATCTACACATATTTAGATATATTCTTACATACGCTTGATATCTTTGACATAACATCATTGTTATTGACCTCCCACCTAGATTAATTCTTCATACAAGCAGAAATATTGTTTGATGAGCTGTGATAACACCACCCCTTAGAAAATACCTATCTGTGCATGTGTGGGTCTGTGTGCATGTATCACATTCCAATTGCTGCCAACTATATGAAGCATTGATTAACCAGAGATTGAGGGGGTGATGAGTCCCCAGGTGACCTGGCTGAGGTGGGGTGAAGGGGAGGCGGCCCCAGGTGTTCACCCCTTTGTGTTCCTGACATTCAGGAGCCCCTGAGGTCCAACCCTGCATCCACGGTGCCGGGTCCTCAGTCACTGATAAGTGGAAATGCACATGTCCAGGGTAATTAGCTTCTGTGATCGTATCTCCCAGACAGAACAGAGAGCGCACAAGGGCTCAGTTATTTCTGTATGGGGACCATTTTCCTTGCTAGTTTTGAGCTCTTAGGGTCCAGCAAAACTCTCCCAAATTGATCCAGAAGCAAAGTTTGGATCCAAAGAACACAGGAATGCTGAAATAATTCAATGAGGAGGCTAGAGTGAACCCTGCTACAGCAGAGAAAGGATTTATAGATAAATTTCATAAAAGTCACATAATGAGCCATGAAGGAACATAGAATTCAGAGTCCAAGGGAGAGGCTGGGCTCAAGTCTCTTCATCTCTTGCCTGTTCCCCCTGTTTTCATCCGTAGGAGCACCTGAGAGCATGAGCCCAACACACAAGAATGGTGAGTGAGCAGACCCTGTCAGTCATGGGCTGGGCACAGAGGGTCAGGCCTGTCCAGGGCAGGACGGTGTCCCCGGGGAACCTCTAGGGATCCTGTGTGACTTTGCTGTGCTCTGACCTCTCTGATCTCTTTGTCCACAATCCCCAGCCCCGCACCCCCAGGATTACACAGTGGAGAATCTCGTCCGCATGGGCCTGGCTGGCTTGATCCTGGTGGCCCTCGGGATTCTGCTGTTTCGGGATTGGCGCAGCCGGAGAAGATACCAGGATGCAGCCGGGAGGTAAACTCCAGAGACAACAATGCACATTCAGAGTGGTCGATTCTTGGAATTAAATCTGATTATCCCAGGAAGTTCAGGAAGATAATCCAGAGCATGTGCTGTGTGGACTGTCTGCTGGTTGTTTCAAGAGGGGAGAATCAATGACCAAGTGCCGGGACACCGTGCCCGGTGGGGAAACTGCGGCCTTAAGGAAACTGTGGCCTTTCTGGTCATTAAGTGTAGCATTTTGACTGAATTCAAATTTTACAGAACAAATACTTTCATTAAAAGGGATGAAACAGAGAAGATGAAGGTCTTCTAGCCTCCTTTGGTTCTTAAAAAATAATTGTCTTGAAATCAGAAGGCTGAAGCCCCCCAACCCCCAATGGCTGGGGCAATCTGTGGATGACCATTAAACTGCAATGCATTTCCTCTATTCCAGTATTGACTTTTCGTAACTGAACACCCTCCTTTCCAACCTTCAGACATGAGGCCACATTTCACATGGCAGCCTTGGGCCCACAGCTCTGTACACCTTCGTGCTCTGGTCCACTGTCCTGTACACACAGTTTCTTTATGTCTGGTTTCTACAACCCTGAGGTACCCTGTGAAGCCTCCATCTCTTCAGTCAGAGTTCCACACCTGGTCAGTTCCCATTACTGAATGAATGGGAAAAGATCAGATTTCAACCAGAAAAATGTCATAAAAATGATGCAAACTCTCTGTGTACCCTGAAAACCCTTCACACTTTATTAGATGCTGTCTTCCTAGTTTCTCCTAAAATATGATCACTTGGAATCATCACACTGGGTTTTGAAGTGACAACTCAGTGTACATTGATTCTGAAAAAGACACTTTTCAATGCCCTTATTTGTGACCTTTGCCAATCTCTGTCATGTGAATATTTTCCTGGCCAAATTCAAGAACATGGGATACAACTGAATACATAGTTGGGAAGCAATGAACGGAATCATCTTCACAATGGAATCGGAACCATCTGCAGCACATCCCACTTACAACTCCCATGCACACAGCTTCATTTCCTCCCATTGGAGAGGTGATGGTGGCTGCTGCACCAGTGACACCAAACAGTTTCAGTGACATCATGACACCATGACCCTAGCACCCTGAGAGGCAAAGGACACAAAGATGGCAACATCACATGTGGGAAAGTATAAGACTCACTTGAAAATCCAGTACCTTAGTGGTAGGGTGATAAATTACTTCAATCAATTTGGAGGCATATTGGAAGTATCTAGCTGAAAGGAACAGCTATTCAACTATGCCCACGTAGTGCACAGCCTAGAGGAAAATGTGTGCACGTGCACGAGGTTGCATTTGCAAGATCAGTGATAGGAGTAGCACTGATATTAGATGACAGCCATAAAACTCAAAGATTAAACTATTTTAAAAGACAAATGTGTGGTTTTTGTTCACCATGGTGTATTATATGGCAGTAAAAATGCACAGTTTACATCTTCAAAGAGCAAGGTATATCAATCCTCAGACATAGCAGTGAACAAATGAAAGAAGCATATAAAAGATGTCATTCAAGGCTAACCCCCTATGTAGGGTCAAAAAAGGGAAATATTTTTTTAGACAGGCATACCTAAGATGAACCCGGTAATTAATCCCATGTGGTCCAGAATGGTGGTATTTCTTTAGGGGGATGAAACATCTTGGAACTGGATAGAGGTGGGGCCTATACAATGCTGTGAATGAACTAGATCCGACTGAATTCTATACTTTATTGACAAATTTTCTGTTATATGAATTTTACCTCAATAAAAATGTGAGGGGAAATGATTCTATTCCCTATAGATTCCTTTTACCTTGATAAGTTGCACCATGACACAGGATTTTCATTGGAGGTAGGACTCCGACCAGGACAAAGATACTCTAACTGCCACAGACATTCAGCATTAACCCAAAGATAAAATTTTACATTTAATTTTATCGTCTCATGAAATTTTACATTCAAATTTACCTTCAGTTGGCTTAGTAAAGAATCCAAGAAGAAACGCCAGCACTCCTGCATCCTTTCCTGTGGTCAACTGCTATTCAAACAAGGATGTAATATTGCCCCCGTTGTCCATTGCTGACCTGAAGAAACCTTTAGGAACTTCCAATTTGCCATCCCTACTATAAGAGCTCATTGACCACATGTCTGTTGAAACTACACAGGTGGAAACCTCTCCATGTCCAGACACTGGTCATCCTCATACAATCGTGACAGTTGGGGTCATTATCATTTCCCCACAATAAGGTAAACAGGAAGGAGGATGCTGTCTGCTCAGGGTCGACCAAGAGTAGATGTTGCCCCATGTCTTACATTGGAAGCTGTGAATTTTCTCCAGCGAATGCTCTTTTCCTAACGCATGAAAACAGAATCCACGGTCAGAGCTGTGGGCAGGGGGAGAAGAGGTAGTGAGGGAGCAGAAATGACTCAGAGTTTTACAGGAGAGGAATGAGAGAAGGTGCCGCCACTTAAGAAATGAGGAAGTCAGAAGGAGGAAGTGCTTGGGAGAAACAAAATCACATACCTAGTGAGGAGGGAGGCTGTGCTTCCTCTGCCAGTCAGTTAGCTGTCTTACAATCAAGTCCCAGCCTCCTTCCCCTCCTGGGGTCATCTGTCCTGTGTTGGCCCCGTTGGCTCCTCCAGTGAACCGAGGCAGAGAGTGGAGCAGCCCTCAGTTCCTCACTCGCTTCTGCTTCACACAATGAACAAACCCAAACATCTCTGCCCCAGAGCCCTCCTTACCCAGGTCTGCTGGTCCTTCACCACCATCCAGGGTCAGCTGGAGACTAGAGATGTCTTGTCACATCAGCCACCTCCTGGTCCCCTCTTCTGGGTCCTTGCTCCCTGCTGAAGTTCATTGTTCTCAAACTGCAACATTATCAGTCACAGACCCTTCACTGAACACAATCCTTTCATAAGTCTCTGTCTTGCTCCAAATGAGACACCAGCATCTCTGCCTGATGTTGCTGCTGTTCATGATCAGGTCTGAGCTAAATTCTCCAGCCTCCGAGGACACGGCTTGTCCCTGTGAAGAAACTCATCACAGGGAACCAGCTGTCCCTCCCGAGACACACACATCTGAGATTTTAACATGTGTGTCCTTCTCACAGTCTGATCCCAGAGACAATGTGAACTTAGAGAAAGCCTTTGCCGACATCCTAAATATGATAAAGGCACAAGTCTCTCTGCCTCATCTCACTCAACAAACACTGTATTTCCCACAAAGCGCTCTGGTAAGGGTTGCGTGAGAAATACAATTAAACCATTTAGAATTCTGAGGTGCATGTCCACGTCATCTTGGGGTGGGATATCTGTTGGAGTTTTATCACAGTTTACTGTAAATGCAATCTTCCTACCATGCATTATCTACACAGTGGAGGTCGTCTTAAAACAGCAATCTGCTCAGACATTTATTTGTTTAAAACTGACTCACTGCCCTCAAGATAAAATCCCAGAATAATTCCAGGGTACACAAGACATTGAGTGATCAGCTTCCCTCGTTCTCTGGATTTCTCTGAATTCTGATAACAGCCTTGGCTCTTCCTGGTCAACAGTGCTCACCCTGTCCTTCAGGGATGTCGCAGAAAGGTGCTGCCACACCTCCGCTGTCCACCTTCGAGTGGTGCCTGCCTATCATGTAGAACCACCTGCTAATAAGCCTTGAGTCTTCTCTTCCTCTGTCACCTGGTCACAGGAAAACCCCATGAGGCCATAGGTGCAGGCTGGAGGGAGAAGGCTGTGTAGCTGGAGCTGGCACCATGGACATTGGGTCACTTCTTCACGTAACTTGCTTGTGCCTTCAGGGCCTGCCTGGGCATGATCTGACATGGACCACTTGCTTTCAAAGACAGGGTGTTTCTGTGTATGCCCATCTTTTTGCTAAGTCAGGTAACACCCCCTTCATGTTGCATGGTAACTCAGTGACCCATGGTTGTTCACTCTCCATAGGACTTGGTAGCAGACCAAAAGCTGTTTTTCAACAGGAGATTAGTGATTTGCAGAGGATGGTAGAGTTTGTCATCAACATCCCAAGGGCTTATGCTGCAAGTCACCTAGAGGAGCCTTCCAAGGCTCTGCACAGCATCTCTGTCTGCCACTTGACAACTCAAGCACCATCAGGTCAGCTGAATAATAGGGTCCAGGTGGCAAAGCACCTTGCAGAGCAGCCTGGATTTGTTGCAGAGCCTTGCTCTGTTCTGTAACCCCACTTAGAATTTTGAGGTCACTTGGTGTATGGGCAGAAGAAGCACACCACCTGAGGAATGTGTTACTTTCAACGCCAAAGAAGCTCACTAAACATGATGTCTCTTCCTTGGTTCTTTGAAGGACAAGATGCAACAAAATACCCTCAGTGTAGAAGGAATATCTCCGCATGCCCCCACACCAGTAGACCTTTATAAATTTCTCTGAAGTGAAAATCTGCAATATTTTTGTTGGGTTTTTTTTACCCTTTTACCTTTTTTTTTTTTACCCTGTGATGTGCAATGCTTCACCAATAAATCTAGAGTAGTTTCCACTTGTTGCTCAAACATTCAACCAACATAATGTTCTTCATGCAGCAGAACAGTGTGATATCTGGTGGAAGGGAAAGGAGGGGAAAGGTGATCAAGATCCCTGTAGACCGCACTGTGACAGGGATGGGGGGTCGATGCGTCCCTGCATTAGGACAGTGAAGGGGTGTTGCTGCCACCTGAGAGAAATGGCCTTCGTTAACAGTGACGCAGGAAAAACATTTGCCAAGTTAATAGCTGCTTGCCAGGTGCCACGGGTTGTATTAATTTGCTAATAAATGAAACCACATCTGGTACAGCAGCTGACCTTGAAATCACCACCTGCTTAAGCTTGGAATAATCCACTGCCTTTCTCCAACATCCGTCTGTCTCCTGTAGAGACCAGATAGGAGACTTGAAAGAGGAC